ACTCTGCTGTCCCGTTCTCCCCCTACCTGCACCGTTGCCAGTCTGCTCAGCCGTTCTTCACACCCCCCACATCTCAGCCGCCACTCTCCTCCCCGCTGCAGTCTGTCACCTCCGTTTCCGCTGCTCTTCCGCCTGTATCAGCAGAGGCAGCGGGCTGTCAGGAGCCGGGGCCAAGAGAGGGGGGCGGGTAGAGAGGTACAGAGGCAGTGGGTGTGTGCAATAGCCAGTTTGCTATTGCAATCTGAAATTGCCAATAGCAGGCTGGCTTTTGTACCCACCCACTGCCTGATGCCAATCAGCAGAGGAGGGACCTAAAGGAGAAAGTAGCGGCTGAGCAGAGTTGTGGCGACGGGGGGCCAAAATCTGGTAGTATGCTGTGCAAAACAGCGGAAAACCATTATCTTAGAAAAATGACAAAGACCAAGAGATTTAAAGAGAGACTTTATTTGAATTTAAACTTGTATTCTCTTGACATCTGGAGGTGGTGCATGTCATTTTTGCAACAAACTATTGAAATAGATACATTGCACTATTTATACACAGTTATTACACAAAACATTTTTATAGAATCCATTCACATGGGGCTTGTATGTCTGGCTGGGGATTCCTGCTGCCTTATTGCAAAAGGATCCTGGACACCAGAACTTTCAGTAACAACCAAGTGATGGCTGGATGGTTTGGATCTGACCAACCACCTGGTACTCAGACCTGCTACCTCAAAAAGTCATTAAGAGTCTGCCATAATAATACCCATCGGTGCTGATATACCTTTTTGTTAGTTTTCTGTGGACTTTTATAAGTGTTCTATAAAAATGTTTTGTGTAATAACTGTGAATAAATAGTGCAATGTATCTATTTCAATAGTTTGTAAAAACAGACATATGGGAGCTGACTCAGCATGCTTGATAGGGCTGCATCAACTAATTGATATTATTGATAATAATTGATAATGGGAATCGTTGGCAACGATTCCCATCATCGATTAACTGATCCGCACTACACCAGGAGACTTCGGTTTACTTCATTCCAGTCTGCGCCATATGTGGCACGGCCTGGGATGGAGGAAACTCAAGCAAAATAATGGAGAAAGTGCCATTTTCTACAGATTCACGCACAACGGGAAATCTCTCCATATTTCAGGCAGCACACTGATCAACAGAGGCTAAAAAACAGGGCAGTGGTAGTCACTGACCCACGCTCACCTTGGCCACCAATCAGGAGAGCGCTGCTTGTTATGGGATACAGTGTATATAAAGTGCACGTTGTATGAGGATCAGCATTAAGGGGACATGTCTAAGTCCTGTGAAGTTTCTATGAGGATCAGAGGGACAGGGACATGTGTGAGTGCTCTACAGTGTATATGAGATCCGTAGACTATAAGTGCATTGCTGTATAATATTGCTGATATTTGTAATCCTCCATAGCCGGTGGTATTCTGCATTCCTGCACAATAACATATTGCTGGGATTTGTAGTCTTCTATAACCAGTGGTATTCTGCATTGCTGTATTATAATGTATTGCTGGGATTTGTAGTCCTCTATAGCTGGTGGTATTCTGAATTGCTTTATAATCACGTATTGCTGGGATTTGTAGTCTGAGCCATTCTGCATTGCTGGGATTTTTTAAATTTCCCCACTAAACTTATAGCTGTTTATCTATAGTTACCACTGTATATGTGTATTTAAGTATAATTTTTGGTTATTTTTTTAACCTTTACAGAATAATTTGGTAATGGTATTCAATGTTTTTTTAAACCGATTAAAATCGAAAAAATTAAATCGGCCAATTAATCGATGAAAATAATCGTTAGTTGCAGCCCTAATGCTTGTTCTAAGTTTAGGAATCACTAGGTAGTGGAACCAAGCTTAGGTTGAATGTTATGTAACCTGCATCTCAGAAAAGAAGTCAGCAATTTTACTTCTATCCTCACAACGGAAATGTATAGTGGTTTTGTAAGCCTTTTCTATTTTTATAATGGTCAGGACAAGGAAAAGCTAAATATATGTCAGCTAAATATAAAATATGGAACAGTAATATTATGCCATCTTTTTCCAGCCACCAGTAGGAACTCTAGTTTACATATTCAGCTTTCAGCTGTGTTAAAAGAAACCCCTTGTATACAGAACTCGAATAGGTCATCACAGCAACAATTCAGCCCTTATTAAATGTCTCGGTACCAGGCTTCTATAAAAAATTTTAAATATCTATATATCTATATACATATAGATCTAGATATATATATCTGACCCAAAACCACTATAGTTTTGTTTTAAGGAATTATTGGCCTGTTAGGATGCACAACATATTGAAATTTTTTTGTCCCGAAGTTACATTTTACATGAGATTACAAGAAACCTTGCACTCTTATGTCATTTTTCAATGGAGTCACAGACCTAAAATATATTATGCCTGACAAGTTTAGCAGTTCTTATATATCAGCAGACCATCCTAAACTACATGAAAGCTGTGAATCCCTTCTGCAATCCCCAGACACTCACCTTGCGCTCATCTACAGACTTGCCAGCCTGCACCATTCCATCTAAGCACTTGGAGATAATTGGGATAACTTTACGTTCTGCGTCAGCAAAACCTTTGTAACACTCGCTCAGCTTAACAGTCCTCCGCTCATCCATTTCCTGAAGGTGCTGTGAAAGGAAAACAAGGGGTTGCATCAGACATTAAAGGGTCACTATGGTGAAAAAGTACAGATTTTTAAAAACAAGGAATATTTCATAGCACTATTCTGAATACAATGAACACATTCACATTACTTCAGGACAAAATCCTGATTTAGAAGACACTTAAGCTAAAATTTAGAAAAGGAAAGAACAATGTGGAGAATGATGAATCCCACAGCAGCCAATCAGCAAGAAGTTCACTAGTCACTATAGGTCCTCAAAGCAATTAGTGAAGCAAAGAGCATAAATTAACTTGTCAGTTATAACAAGGAGATTCTATAGCATTTGGATTTAGGCCACATGACCCAATGCCACAGCAGCTGAGAATGGGAGACAAATGTCAACACACTTTTCAGCCAAAGCAAACTTCGACTCTGCTGACATCAATGGCCACAATGCAGAGCTGTTACAACAAGTGATCTAATGACAGGTTTAAGCCATATGTCCTTAAAACCAAACACCAGGGGGAAAAAGGTAATTCACACAGCACACCAGGTGTGTAAATTATGATAAAAATATGTATGTTATGGGTGGAGGGCTGCTGCAAAAGTATATAAAAAAAAACCTAAAAACTCTTACCTTGCAACATCTCAGCTCCTTTACAGAACTCTTGGCTTCTGCGAGCAATGCGATTCAAAAAGTGCTCAGATCCCATTCCCACTCTTTTTCACCCTACTTGCCCATTTACAAAATGACTTGTGTTTTTCTCAAAGAAAACAAAGCATTCTGTGGTTGGAGGAGGAGAGGAGGGGGCGGGGATGTGACTTCAGCTCCCTTCCTCCAATCACAGAATGCCTTGTATTCTTTGAAAAAAAATACAGAGCTTTTTGTAAATGAGCAAGCAGTGAGGAGGGTCAGGGTTGCATCTGGAGCACTTCATTGCTCAAGTCTCATCCATTACATCCTGCAGAAGAGTTAGGTGTAGGAGGCGGCATGCTGCAAGGTTAGATTTTTATGCTTTGCAATATCCCTCCATACATAGCATGCATCTTTATAATGATAATCACACACCCAGTGCGGTAAAAAAAAAAAAATCCTCTAATGATGTATTTCACTTATGCTCTTCCGATGCGCCTACCTTCTCTTCCTAACTGTTTAATGCAGACCTAAATGTAAAGAACATAAAAATATATTTAAAAATCTCCAAAAACAGCTTAGCATTAAAATGATGGGCAGAAATAATTTACCACATACGTAATTATCCAGGGATCAAAGAGTTTGCCGCCACTGTAAATCATTGCCCTCATATCATCCTAGCCTCCTCCTGGCAATAAAATAATAGAGGAGAAAGGAGCAATGCGGCTTGTCTAATGAGTCCAATAAGACAAATAAAGAGCAAGCTCTTTGGTCAGATTACATAAAAGACTGCTCATTCTGAGTTTCTTTGCAAGCTCCAGCTAAATGCAACATACAGCTGCCAAGGGGTGTATATACTACCTAGTCATTCCCAACATTATGCCGCCTCTTGCAATCAGGTTAAAGAACTTGGTATTCACCATGTCTGTATAAACATTTAGGTTGGTTCGCGTACCTCACAAAAGAAAACCCGACTTGATGTTAAATCTAAACATTTGAAAGATCATTCTTGCCCGAATCCCCAAAACACTGGTAAGGAACTACACAAAGGCAGATAGCAGGGTAGTTTAGAATAACTAAATGAAGCCAATCATTTCTGTTTTCAAAGACAAGTCTCTTTTTTTTTTTAACACAACAATGTGATTTCACTCTTCATGCAAGCGCCTGGAAAATAGATGGCCTTTTCTTTCAGCGGGGGCTGCTGAAAATATAGCACAGCAAACATGCAAAAATATGACTTGGCCGCAGTTAACAGGTATCCGAAGTTATATAAACAGGAAGCCTATAAGGAAAGTCATTGTTCAAAACATCTGCTAATGACCAAGAAAAATGCAGCATTATGACAGGAAATGTGAAACTCCCTCAAACGTCTCACAGCACAAGATTCCCATTCTTCACTTTAAAATGATTAGGGATTATTATGATTCTTCTCCCATTTTATATACAAAATTCAAATTATAAATATATTTCTGCTCTGTACATATTCGATGATACACTTCCAATTTTTTTAATTATTAGTTTTATCCTAAAAGTACACAGTGGCCAGTAAGTACACTAACCTTATAACAAAAGAAGAAGTACAAAGAGAACACATGAAACGTAAGAGACCAAAACAAAAATAAGCAAAAGGTCAGATTTTACCTTGTAAACTTGTGGGATAACAATGTAGAAATGTTTATTTTGTTCAGCATTGAAGGTCTGCAGTTGGGCGGCGTATTCATTTTTACTTTCATCAGCCATGTGTGTTCGCAGGTTAAGCTGTTGTTTTGCCTGTTTAAAAAAAAAAAAAAACCCAGGTAAATAAAGCTTAGGGTTACACAGTGAATAAATGTATTAACAAACCTTAGGGAAGGGCATTCGGTAGCTAGGTGACACTCTTATTGAGCAAGTGGTTACATAAATATTGATAAATCTAAGGTGGGAATCTCTTTACATCCATTAATGTGCAAATAAAGTTGCCTGCTTAAAGGCATCTGCAAGCGACTGCTGATTCCCAAGCAGATGGAAAAGAACTGAGATTTTTGGCATTGAAATCTTGCAAGGTAGAATCTTTAAGAAATGTAAAAATCCAAGGGTTGTACATACTACCATCAACACCTGGTATATTCAGTTTTCTGTGAGTTAACCTTTTCATACAATAACAGCAGGTGATAGTGTTCATCCATGTAAATCGAAGCCTTCCTAAGAAGCTTTCCTGACACTAAGAATGGGATTATGTAACTAGAACAGGGAGGTTCTACAACATTCACACCTCCCATCCGGTTCTTGGACAGCAATATCTGCCTTTCCATGGTGATTGGTTAAATGCCTGTGCTACCTGTGTGGATATAAATGCTTGGGTATTTTCCAGACATTCATTAAAACTGAAGGAGTGGCTTAGAGAAGCTACAAAATGTCTTTCAACAAATCCAGTTGAATGTGACTAACTACTTCTAGCTATACAATGACCTGGATAAATAAAGAACCTTCACAGACAACTTCTCAGCTGCACTGAATACTCAAGGAGTCTCATCAGCCATGCTAAGGTCAACATCATAAATTACAGAACACCACCCTCTATTTTAGTAAGATGAGGAGAGAGCGGTGTTCTGTAGTCCATATCAAGGAGGCACAAGTAGCCTAGGATGACATCGCTACTACCCCATAGATATAGGAAGTCAGGATTGTCACCTTGAGATAAGAAGCGTGCTACTGGCAGAACCACAAGGAATTAACTAAGAACATTTAAATGCAACCATCACATCCAAGGACTGGTAAGCTTTGATATATTACATTGAACTGTTAATAGTTGTCGATACGCTTTAATGCACCAAAATTAAAGACATTATATAATTCATGAAAAGTATTGATGTGAAATGGATCATTTATTCTGATATGAAAAAAAATGTGTGTTCTTGGTTGACTGATCCTTGACCCAGGTATGAAGTGAATTTTAGAAAAACAGGTCTGATAAATATTCAAAATATCCAGTTAGTGGCTTGAGGACTCTTTAGCGAGGCTCATGGTCGAAAGTCTTCGCTGCATACTCAACTCTGAAAGTGGACCTATACTTTGAACGATAGCTGTCTACTATAGTATGGCTGTGTAATAGATGTCCCTTTCACATATAGTTTCTTATTAAGCAACATAACACTGCTTTACATGTGGCCGTGCCTTGGAACCCTCTGTTCATCCTGGCTCAGAGGAACCAATCAGAAGTGTAACAGGTAAACCCCACAAACCCCTGCGTCTGATTATATTGATGGTGTCATCAGGGGGTGGGCTCTAGGAAGAGTTGTTCCATAAAGACACTGTGCAATGGACAATGTGTGTCTGGACAAATGAGCCCCTACAGAAGGCCTAATGTAAGAATTATATCATTCAAAGCCGACTACTGCTTGAAGGATATGGTTGCCTGCTGAGTCTACGCTCACTTTAATAGCAATAGTCACTTCTGCAGTGTGCTTACTTACCTTCTCCACATCAGACTTGGTGGCATTAGTGTCACTGTCCAGCCTCTCGAAGCCCTGTTGTGCCTTCTCTGCCTCCCTGCATTCTCTTTCAAACTTCTTTTTACTCTGCAAAAAATACACAAAATGTTAATATTTTTAAAACCATCAGATCTAAAACAAAGCATACAAAACAAACACGAATAAGTGAGGCTGCATAACAGGAAATTAAAAGGATGTTTTCATAATCGGGTACAAAAGCTGAGGCTTGCACAGATATCTGTCTGTCTCATCCGAAACACAAGAATCAGTTTTGGGTGGCCATCTTAACGTTAATGCAGCTTACGCAAACAAATCACAAACATCATTTTTGTTTTAATATTTTCTTTAAAGTGCCATTTAACTTTAGCTAAACAAAGTTAAAACACACAAATGCTATCATAAATGCTATTCATCCAGTCCAAAGATTTACACAGCCCTGGCAGAAAGAGTCAGGATGATGACCAGAACATTTTTCTGCTGCAGTAAAGCAATACAGCTTGGCTAAGAACACACCCAAAGCTTGTGATTGGACAGTGAAGGAGAAGCAGTACACCGATGAGTTTGTCTCTCTGCTCATTCTTTTCTCTGCACATATACATGCAGCACACCTTCGTCTCTGGTGTACAGGAGGTTATTAAAAGCAGATTAAAAAAAAAATAAAGGAGATTCCTCTATCTATTTACATTTTAAAAATATTCATTGAATATATAAATGCAAATCTCTTTTTTGCATTTGCTGTATTGCTCCAAGATTTTTTCCATTTTGATATTGCTGCTTCCCATGTAAAACTTCAACAGGCTGCAAGAAAAGCAAGCAATATCTGGCAAACTGAAAGTTCCATTTTCTATAAATTAGGGATGCACCGATACTAGTATCGATATCAGTGCCGATTCCGAGTATTTGGGCAAGTACTTCTACTCGCCCAAATGCTCCGATGCCTAGCACGAGTACTTCCGGTATCAGGAAGCCGGGCAGCGCGTCATTACACGCTGCCCGGTTTCCCGGGAAGCGGCTCCATGCTCTCTCGTCACTTGTGATGAGAGAGCATGGAGCTGACTTCCCGGCCAATCAGGAAGCTGGGGAGCGTGTAATGACGCGCTGCCCAGCTTCCTGATTGGTCGGGAAGCTGGCCAATCAGGAAGCTGGCTTCGTGAGGTAAGGGTACCTTACCTTAGTATGTGCAGCCTGTCACCCCCGGGGCCTCTCCAACGAGAATGCGGCCTTCGTCCGGTACCCAGCTGGAGCCGTCCAATCAGGAAGCAGGGCGCCGTGTAATGACGCGACGCCCTGCTTTCCGATTGGCGGGGAAGCTGGCTTCATGCTTCCTCGTCATCTCATGACGAGAGCATGGAGCCGGCCTCCCGGCCAATCAGAAAGCAGGGCGTTGAGTCATTACACGGCGCCCAGCTTCCTGATTGGACAGCCAGACGGCTTCGGCTGGGTACCAGACGAATGCTGCGTCCTCGCTGGAGAGGCCCCGGGGGTGACAGGCTGCACATACTAAGGTAGGAGGGGACTTTCTTGTTAATCGGGAAGCCGGGTGGCGACTCTTTACACGCTGCCCGGCTTCCCGGCTAATCAGGAAGCCAGGTGACAAGTCATTACACGCCACCTGGCTTCCTGAATGGGACTTCCGTTACTCGGTAATTGGTATCGGCGAGTACTGAAAAAAAATTATCGGTGCTCGTACTCGGTACCAAAATACCGATATCGGTGCATCCCTACCATAAATAGACCAATACAGAATAGAAAGAATAAAGATCACAAAGATCACTCACATTGTCCATCTGTTTAAAGCACATGTCCAGGTACTGCTGGGCTTTCCTCCCCTCTTGAAGATGCTGTAATGAAAAATAATAGCAACACTGGCAGGGCTCCACTGGGATTACAGAAGACTTTTCATTTCGACATAAAAAAAAAGTGTCAACCTTGCCCAAATGATGGCAATAGCCGAATATAAAGCGCAGTGGAAGAGCTTGAGATTTGTGAATATCTCTATTTTAAAACACCAAAACCACAACTGAAGGTGCAAAAGGGTCATATATAATTATTGTATTTAGGCTCAATTCATATGCATGTAAAAAGCCCAGTGCCTTCAGCTACCAGGCAAATAAAGGGTCATTGACCCAGATGGTATATTTGTTTACTGAGCTCTCTTATTACATCCATAATGGGTCTGCAAAAGGCATACACATGTTCACTAGGAGTAAATGATCATTCTACAGAACTAAGCAGGTCCCACCTTCCAGCCATCATCTCATGGCTTAATAAATAAAGCCACAGAAAAGTCCAACCGACACAAGGATTTTGTCAAAGGCACTGATGACCATCAGTACCATTCATTGCTATGTTTTAGCAAGCCATAGCTCACCCCTGGAAGAACTGCAATATTTTCAACTAAGTATATGCATTTTGCCATCACCACATCAGACTAAATGACAGTCGTATTTCAAAAAGTGGAAATATACCGATTTTCTCTCTGCTTTCAGATCCAAGGAATATCTCATTATTTCTGCGTAAACTCTGTGTCCCATCTCTTCTGCCACCACTTCACGCTGTCCAGCATAGTCATTAAGTTCATTGAGGATATTATAGAAGGATGCGCAAGATGTGAACCTTTAAATAAGTAACACAAAATAAGGTCATTTTCCAACTCTCACTTTCATACCCGATCCAGTCTAAAAACTCCCTTCCCAAAATACCAAAGTGTAAGGCACAAGAAAATGAATCTGCAGATATGTCCAATAGAAGGTTTATTAATGCATGCCATCACACCAAGCATGAGTTACTGTGCACTAGGTATGTTGTGAAACCATTCACTGAATGGCACCCCAACACACCTTCTGGCCGCTACAATGCAGTGCAATGTGCAGTACCATGCATTGCGGAGCATGCACTACTTTATTTCACCGCACCATGTATTGCACTGAAGTGCATGGTGGCTAGGAGGTGCGTTGGGATGCTATTCAAATGAATGGCACCCCAAAACACCTAGTGCATAGTAATGCACACTAGGTGTGTTGTGCAACAGCATGTGATTAATGTTATGCATAGTGTGAACGGGCCTGTAAACAGTCACAGTACTGTAAGCCCTCATTCCCACTGTATTCGGCCCGCACGTACGGCTCCGTGCTGCATGCACTACGTGGCCGTATGCCCCCCCACGATCACCCACCCTGCACATCCGCTGTGGGTGAGCTTACTTGTACGCTGACGGTATGGATCCTGTCTGTGTTCAAGCCAGGAAACACGCACCCCTAATTGAGGTAAGCATAGGG